AAATTAAGTAATTTTTTTATAATCTCTGAATACACGATTTTCTGAAAATCCATTTCTTTCAACTAGGAAAACATTAACTTCTTATATTTTCGATTTGTCAGAAAACATCCTGCAGAGAAACAAGTCTCTAGACTATAGATGATTGAGTTTCATCTTCGGAAGTTAGACAGAACTCTGACGACCGACTATTTCCGGTTCTACGTAATGGAAGCTACGAAGCGTAGGCGTCTACGTCTGTACTACGGATGTTACTAAAGACCGGAGGAAACATTAAAAATCAATGCAATAAAATGATTTGATATAATTTGTATACTACATTTTTAAACAATAAAGGAAACAGACAAAATCCGTAATATTGATCACCTTTTTCATTAATTATTAACAAATCGCTTGACATATAACATTTCTGATATGTAACGGTACATAATTACATTTACACTTGAAGCAAAGGTCAGGTCTACTAAACTATATTCGACATAATTAAAATCTATCTTTAGATCTAGTTTTCAGAAGTTTAAAAATAATATATATACATTTTGATAGCATTACATCCTTAGAATTTGTAATTAAAGTGACATTTCCAAACCACAAAGAAATTCAATACAAATTCAGTACCGCCATGTAGAAACATGTTGTCCCTTTTTAGTTAATATAAAAGTGTGAGAGGCATAACAATGCTTTTATAGAGAAGTTTCGACGCCTTAGATATCGAATATCGTGGGAATTCACAATACGTCACGGTTCATTTACTTGACGGGAAATAATCAGGGACTGAGCGTCAGGGAGACATCGATTGATTGCCTCATGTCATTGACCTACGTTTGTGCCTTCAGGACGCTTGTGTAATAATTAATGAAGATTAATTAGTTATTAGAAGAAGATAATGTAATGTAAGTAATACGTAATGATAACTTTTGATATTAATTGTGTGTCATAGACATTCCTAAAAATTAATCTTACTAATATTATAAATGCGAAAGTTTAGATGGATGGATGTATGTTTGTTAGCGTTTGTAGCCTAAACGGCTGAACGGATCTGCATGAAATTAGGCACAGGATTAGAGCATAGTCTGGAAGAACACATAGGCTATTTTTTATCCCGGGAATAGTTACGGTTCCCGTGGGATTCATTAATTTAGTTTTTTAATGTTTACTCGATCATTCTCCAACGGTACAACATATCTTATTGAAATTTGGCACAGATATAAAACAAAGTCTGGAGTACACATGGGATAAGCTTCATGCCCGAGGAATGTCCGGTTCCCGAGGGATAGCTTTTTGTCATTTATATAGCTCGTATGTTTTCTAATACCACGCGGACGAAGTCGCGGGCAACAGCTCATTAATATATAAAATGAAGGTTTTTTTATTACCAGTAAACTTTACTAGACCTCTCTACAGACGAGATGTTTATATAATAACTAACTCTTAACCTACTTTTGCATACTGCAAAAAATACTGCATTTAAAAACATACTTCTTTACCGTTGGGTTTTCGGAATTGCAGTATAATTACGAACAACACTCCATACGACCTTTTTTGTAACCTATTTGCAGTAAACAAAAACACATCGTAGGGCGCGGCGTAGCGCCAAGGCTGCTGCGTTCATATTCATCTGCAGTGCGTCTTCCCTCAATATATCATAACTAGTTGTTCCAGTGCGGCTTCATCCGCATGAAATTATGAAAATTTTATTCTTTACATTTGTTAAATTATCAATAACAAATATCAAAATGACATGACATGACAAAACAAACCTTAGTAATCTTTATTTTTTCATGTTGGCAGAAACTTATGGTCTCTTTCCCACATTAGGGTTTTTATGCAAAATATTTACCGAAAATATATAGCCTAAAGCACGAACTAAGTTTAGGGCTTTTTAATAAAAAAAGAATTATTTAAAAATATGCTGTAATTGCTGACATCTTAGGCAACAAAGAAGTGTGTGTTTACGCTTTATTATAATAGTATAGATTAGTAGGCATATCGCATAATTAGTAAACTATGCATGCTACATTATAACTGTATAGATCTTGCAACACAGATCCTTACGTAAATATGGAATCATCCAAAACGTTAATCAACCACTTTACCTAACATCAAATGAATATCGGAATTAACGCTTCGAAATAAGGAAATCAATTTAGAGATCTGACTTGGAATAAGTGACCTTTGAACTTTGGGGCTGAGGCTCGCAAGGCTCCGCTTAAACGTTTAGTATTCACTGACATGAAAATAAATCTACTGACTTGGAACATTTACAAGTCTATAATTTAAGATAGGTACATATCGGTACGAAAATAGTATCTAATTGACAAACTATTGATTACTAGCTTTCGCCCGCGACTCCGTCCGCGTGGAGCTAAAAAAAAAAAGTGAGTAGCCTATGTGTTCTTCCAGACTATCCTCTACATCTATACCAAATTTCATCGCAATTCGTTCAGCCGTTTAGGCTACAAACTCTAACAAACCTCCATCCATCCATCCATCCATCCATCCATCCATCCATCCATCCATCCATCCATCTAAACTTTCGCATTTATAATATTAGTATGATAGTAAACTTTCTGACAGCTACTTTTGAATCAAGTCAATCGCAATTACTGACCTAATAAAAAACGGTGTTCCGTGTTTCTTAAAACAGTAAGGATTCTCAGTACCCACTTCAATAACTAAGCTCTGGGTTATTAAAACTCGATATTATCCTCCAAATGGTTATTTAAAATTGAATAGCTTTTGCTCGCATCTTGTCCGTGCATTCCGAAACTTAATAGCCTTCCAGACTTGTTTGTTTCTTTTCTATAACAAAGTTGACAGATATTTTTTCTATTTTTTTATAAAAACCTTGTGACAAATTCTACAAAATTTAGGTATTCCTTGAAACAGATAATTGACACGAAAAAAAAAATCATAAAAATTTAAAAGGAAATAACTATTTATTATATTATATCACCCTAATTTAGGGTAGGCTCCGAACCCTCGGTGGGGACATATAGTGAGCTGGTGATGAACTATTCATTTATCGGGTACATATAGCCAGCGGTTTTAGCCTAGTCACGCACAAATAAACATTGGTTTTCACTGCCGAGACCAACAACAACCTGTAATCTCTATTGTCTCAGAAAAACGTGCAATACAAAACCTTGTCGATTACAGCGTGTACGACGCGCGTTCATCTATATCTATACTAATATAATAAAGAGGAAATATATGTTTGTATGTATTCAAATAACGCACAAACTACTGGGCCTTTACAAGAAATCTTTCACCATTAAAAAGCTACGTTATCACTGAAAAACATGAGCTATGTTTTAAATTTCACGCAGACGAAGTTGCGAGGTTATGCGAGTATCGTATATGTATTATTTGGTTGTAAGTGTATATACTGCTGGAGGAATTCCAATATAGAAGCGTGTTATGCGGCATAGTGTATTTTTTTTAGCAAGCTAACATTGGTTCTTGGCGTGGAGAAGAGATATTTTCTTTCTTACAAAATATCCGGGTCAACTTGCGACTGAGAAAATCAGCTTTAAGTTAGCGTCTTTCTTTTTAAAACCACCGCAGAAATGACTATGCGACTAAAATATTATCATTATTGTGAAAAAACGTTAAAACAATTTCTTTGTGTAGAAATTCAATAGAAACTGTAAAGGATTAGTCAATGTTAAAATCTCTGTCGCCCACGAACATCTGCCAAGTTTACAATCTATGATATATTATGATATATGACATCCAAATTCTATTCTAATTTAAGCGCGCGCACACCTTGGACTTAACTATCGCACCAGTGTTAAGCAATTATCAATTGTTTCACAACCCATTCAGCCGTTTAGTTGCACAATTAAAAATCGAGTAGTGTTCGCACCTCCATATATCCTCATAGGAATCAAAGCTCTACTAAACAGTAGTGCGATAGCGTAGTCAAAGATATGCTCGCGTTCTTATACTGTGGAATATAAATCTATGGATTATTATGCATTTTTTTTTCATTTACGTATAGTTATGCAAATAGTGTATATTTAGTTAAATAGATGGCGCTAGCAGTCTAATACTAGTACTAGTACAATTTGTATTTTTACTTTTGCCAATACTTGTCTTTTATTCAAGTATTAAAATAAGAGAATTTTGGTCTATCTTAAAGTTAATTCCTAAAACAAGAAACATTTCAAAACAAACAAGACCGAACGTTAATTATAATTTCATATGTAACGTTTCTTACCGGCCAATAAAAAATATAAATAGAGATGTGTAATGGAAAATACTATCGATTCAAAACGATATAAGCATAAAATTAATTTGATTATTCGATTTCGATAGAGTGATAAGTAATTGGGTATTTCTCTTTACCTGTTGAAAACCATAGTGCTCTTTATGTTTTTTTTTAGGTTTTACTCAATCCAATGTATGTTTAAACAACAATGTTTTTCGATAAATTTAACGCTAGTGAATGGTGCGTTTCTCTCGAGGGCGGTAGCGGGGCCTGCGCAGTTGAAGCCGCGGCATCTTGCCGGGCGCCGCTGCGGGACACCACTGCGGCCCGGCGCCCTAGGGAGGGCCTGCCCCTGTAATCACTCTCCCCGCGAAAACAACTACGTGGAATGCTTTCTCATCACCGTACATTTCTCATTTATACTAAATATTGACCTTTCATCGATCTTCTTGGATTCATAATAAGAGACATGATAAAAAGTAAAATATTTGAGATATAAGGGAATGTTTTTTGTAGGATATAAAGATATACAGTATCGGGTCATGTAAGTTAGTCTTTGTCTCTGTCACTGACAGCAGGCAGCGGGCAGCGGGCAGTGCTCAGTAAAATCGCTAGGAAGGCCATGTGCAGAAGTGGGGCACCGGCACCGGCGCGGCGCTCGGCGGCGCTCGGCTCTGCGCCGCGCGGTGACGCATTGCAGGTGCGCGGTGGCCAATCGGCGCGCGCCGCCCGCTGCTCCACACCGCTCCACGCCGCCGCACCCGCCCGATATAAAACCGACTATCCTTTGCGGATTAAATCTAATCCCGTGTCGTGCGTCCCGAGACATGGACTTGAACGTCCGAGACTTTCGCGCCTAAATCGAAAACATCGTAAAGTGCGAGCCGAACCGAGTACGGGTATCGAAAAACGGACATGAGAACGCGTCGATTCGATTGAATCACTCGAACGATTCGCGCGGCCGAACTCGGAACGAATCGCGAGCGCGAGTTTCTCGGGGCGACCGCTCGCGCGAGTGAGGGCGGCAGTATCGTTTCAACCGTCGGTCTGTGCGGTCGCTTTTGCGGCGTAGTCTGTGATTTTTAGTGTAGCTCCAGATAATCCAACTTAATCTACGATGGTGAGTGATATTTTGCAAAGAAAATTTCTCCAGTGCATTAGGGAGGCCTTTTCCCATCGTATTCCTCGTATATTTCGGGTTTTTTAGTGCATCGGTGTTTATAGTGATGACGGTCTCCATTATATTATTATGATGGCCGTTTTTTACCGCAATGCGGATCGTCGACGTACTCAAAGTCGGAACAACGAAGAACAATAAGCCGTAATGGAGACAATAGTGGGTACGAGATGGGCGTCAACGTTCGGATTTCGTGAAATGACCGTTATAGTGTATCGAGAAACATCCGTCGCCATAGTTTGTTAGGTGTTGCCGGTCAAATGACGTTTGTCTGGATGAAGCCGAACGTTCGATGACGCTTTAAAAATGGCGCAGAGCGATTGTTGAGCGTTTTGTAGTTGTTTTCACGGTGCAGGGCGCCCGGGCCGCGTCGCGCCCTGTTGACGGCGGATCGATCGACCGGCGCACCTGTCAAATGCCCGTTGACTCATCGTCATCGCAACCCGAGCTTTTATTTTACATACGCAATTCAATAAACTAGTTCCGATTGATTAGTCGGTCGATGTGCGAGGCTGCGGCGACGAGATATGGTAAAGTACGAAGTTTGCACACTGCCCAATTATCGACCTGCCCACTACTGCAGATGCCCACTAATGTCTCAATAACGGTTAACAATTTACCTAGAACTTTAGATATGTTAAAGTTTTAACATCGACTTTGACATAAAAGATAACTATTATGTTGTTAAGTAAAACTTGTAAATATTGTATCACTTAGAATAAGTAGTTGCTTACCACTCTTTGCACTGGATACAGTGATGAACACAAATCTAAATTCTTATTGGATTTTAGGGTACATCTAAAATGAAATACTATAAAAGGATTAAATTCAATGTACTACAAATACTATTTTCATGCATTAATAGAAACAAATAAAATAACAAGTTAGTTTGAAATATTTTCCTTGTATTATCAATGTTCTGATATGAAAATATCTGATTAATAATTCTTTTTCTTCAAGTAATTTATAATAATAATTCAGCTTTAAACTTTCAAACTTAAAATTGACATAGTTGAGGTAAAAGATACATCTTAGTAAAAAATGTAACTATTGCTTAAGACGTAAGGCTGTTATGACAGTTTTTTAGTAAAAATTATAACATGGCTCAATATTGTACTAAAGAGTATAGTAGTATCGAGTGGGGTACTGGTCACATGGAATATATTACCACTGTCAATCTTATACAGTAATAATTAACATAACAAATGTGTGTAACTTCTGTACATTTGAGTTTTTCTGTAAACCTGTTAATCTTCTAAGGAAGTAAAAGGATGGGCATAAATGTAAAGTTTTTAGAACAATGGACCACAATTTAGCTATATATCTTTCATGTATTGTTTCACAGACAGCTTTTGTGTTGAAATTTTTTCTTTTCTTAAAGTTATGGTATAATGTGACTAATATTTTAAATGCAAAATTTTAGGCAATTTTTGTTAGAAGTTATCTCCAGAATGGCTCAATTGATCTCAATGAAATTTGTCGCAGATAGAGGGTATAGTCTGGAAGAACTCAAAGGCTACTCACTTATAATTTTTTAATTCCATGTTAAAAGAATTGCAAACAAAATTGCAAAATAGAAATAAAACAAATGATATCAGATAGAATTGAAATAAACTTTGGTTGCAGTTGATTTTTATGTAAGAAAAATATAAATCCTTTCTATGGATAATTAGACTGTAAAGATTTGTATGTATTTTAGAGTTCTCTTTAAGAAATAGTAATTGATATTAAAATAATAAAATACTGGACTAAGCTGAGTTCTTAAAATTCGTAATAGAACCCATTGTTATTTGTGAATATTCATATATTTAGACTACTTTAACAGGATATTCCTGTTAGCAACCATTGTTTTGTAGCTTTATAATAAAATAGTAATATTTGATTACTTTAATATTTGCAAAGGGGGGTAGTTAGGAATTTGGAAAATTATGTTTTATACTAATAGGGGATTGTATTTCTTATTAAGTTGCTGATATTTTGCAGCAAATGTATATTTGGAATCACTACCAAATAGTAGTTTTCTTTGAATAACTAACAAAGAACTTTGAACTTTGTATAACAATGGTTATTTTGTTGAATTTTTTTATAAAAGTATAATTTTGTTTAATGGCTTCAAGTTTTAAAGTCAGAAATCTGTTTAAATCAGCAAGATAATTCATTTTTTTTAAATACAATTATAGAATACTCTTTTATGATACTTTAAATGAAATAGCAATTAGTACTGACATAGATTGATAACAAACAAATCAATTTTATATTCAATGGAAATTAATACCAATTGTATGTATGTTATATCTTGTTGATAAACTTTATTGTAATGCAGCATTTGGTATCTTGTAGTCCGCATTGTGACGTGGCATATGTAATTATGTATATCTTATCAGACAAGCCGCTCGGCAATCTTACAATCAACCATTTACCGTTTGGTCTTCATACATAGCTGATATTGAATTTAGTTCTACAATATGGTGGTTTCAAGTGTGTGTATCCAAGTTTGTAAAAAAAATATGTAAAGAGTCTATTTACATTGTAAATTATAAGATGTAAAAATTTTACATTCAAGTGAAAGGGTTAATATTAAGATTAGATAGACAAGAAATAAAATGTTATTCTTGTAGTAATCATTTATTATAGAATTGAATAATTTAATGTTGTTAAGTATGAAATGTGACATCTTGCTGATATCTTTGTACTATTACAGGCGGACCAACTGACAGAGGAACAGATTGCCGAGTTCAAAGAGGCGTTCTCACTGTTTGACAAGGATGGTGATGGCACCATCACCACCAAGGAGTTGGGTACCGTGATGCGCTCGCTGGGACAGAACCCCACAGAAGCTGAGCTGCAAGACATGATCAATGAAGTTGATGCAGATGGTAAGTGATGGCTTATTTATTATCTAATACAGAGTGGGCCAGATGTGTACAGAAAAAAAAATATTCTACACAATAGACTAGATATTTAATTGTAGTAGTAAATCACGATTTAAGTCACATGACAACCTTCAGTGTAGGCACCAACCAGTTTCAGAGAGACCCCCGACAGGTCCGAAACTGATGGTTGTAAATATGGGATGTGTCACAAAAGTTTTAATAAGTTATTAGTTGGAATATTCATCTCATTTGGTTTTTGCACAATTTTTGTAATTTTATTCTCTATTTCATATTTTCTCTTATTCTGTTTCCGCTGTTTCTCTCGATTTGTTTGTTTAACAATTTTAAAATGTCGTTAGACGTTTTCTTTATTGATTTTTTTTGTATGAATACAGGAAATTGCTGTCAGCATTCAGTAGATATGTTTTAATTCAGAATGAAAATTAAATTGGTAGCATTACACAATAACGAATCTTATTATTTCGCAGTTATGATTCAAATCTAGAGAGTACGAGAAACAATTGATTCGAAATAAATGGGTAAAACAATTTATCGTTGAGAAAAAAATCGATTCTGTAATATCATTCTCGTTTACACACTATTAAATTTAAATTACATTTCGTGATATGGTGTGACGTAGTTAGGGCTTATCACTTACGATGTCTACACTTGGTGATTATTACCTATATAAATATTTTTTTTTAATCAATTAAAATAATATTTGCTAGTAACTTAATTTCCAGTTGTGAAAGTTTTATTGAATCTCTATTATCTCCATTTGATTGAAAAAGAAAAGGATGCCAATCTGTTCATTGTAGAATTGCTACCGACGATACGTTTTAACACACTAACCACTAAGCCATGGGGCCTTTTTTACTCTGACTCATACTCTCGGCTGAGTAAGCAAACTACGATACTAAAGTCGATAACAAAGAAGTTTGGTATCGATATCTCTTGATATAAAAATTTTCTTTCACCATCTATAAATATGAATCAATACAGATGGGCCTTGCTTGTAAAGTTCAAGGTGAACCTTAACGAAAGGAGATTTGATTTTTTATATTATTTTTATTTTTGCTAGTTTCAGTTCTACAAATCAAGTAGCTTAAATTGATTCGAAATATGCGCCAAGTTGTCAAGAGATTAGTAACTTAAAAAAAATTAAACTCGAGGCGTTGTCGTTAGTGGGAGTTGTAAATTTTGAACATTCTTGCAGGAAGCCTAATAGCGGGGGCACAACTTTGACTAAACTATGGCACAACAGTTGTGCGTTTGTCGATTGTTTCGCAGTCAATCCAACTGTTTAGTTGCACAAGAATTAAACATTTGTGCGACAATTTAGTTTCCGTTTGCGCACATTCTTACTTTTACATGTAAATTTTATCCACGTTCATTTTTCAAAATATCATACTTGTCCGATTTTGTTCCTTTTCAAAGAAATAATTGTTGGTGTGCGAAGGCAGACAATATTGCCACTACACCGCGCCGACTAAATCCCAAGCCGATAACGCTTATCGCAAATACCTATTTGCGCGGCGCGACACTGAAAACAATAATTCGTAACGATTAACAGAAATTTACTAAATTTTCACACGATATATGTTTAGAATTACGTATACACAGGTAGTCTAGATCTAATTGAATAAAAACTAGTAAAAAATGTACTGATTAAATTGAAATTTTGGCAAAGAAACAATACAAATAACATTGAATTTCTAAATGTACAATGTCAAACTAAAGCATGTAAGGTAATTTCAAAACCGCTACGACTTAGGATCCTGCAAGAATCGAGTTTATCATCTCCTCAAAGGCCGGCATCGCAGTTCCTCTGGTATTGCGGATGTCCATGGGCGTCGATGTACATCTCGGTGTTCCCGCTGCTCGTTTGCCCCTGTCTTATAAAAAAATTGGTCGGTCAGTGTTATTGCAGACATTTAATATACCGGCGGTTATTGTCAGCGATACTATTATCAATGATCGATATTTTATCATATATTGCTGCTATGATTAGCGCTCCGTCACTATGTTCATTTTTTGTATGTACTAAAAATAGAGATAATGAATGACCGTTGGCAGTGGAATTTTTAAACAAGCTCACAATATTGGTCTAATGTTTATGTGCAATTGCATTATATTTTTGGAAATATTTGAACGACAAGGGCAACGATTAAATATGAAAATGACAAAGTCCAAGAACTTGTAACCGTCAAAATTATTTAAAAAAACAACTCAACTTCAAAATGTTCCAAAACGCACAAACTAGTACTAAGTGTAGAAGCCGAAGAAAACTGTAATTCTCTGATTCATATTTTTAATCACTAGTATTGATTTGCTTAGACTAGTTTTCCATTCGACCGTAGCCAGTCTTTAGGGTGGGGCGACTGCCTAGGGCGCCGGAAATTAACAGGCTCCTTTTTACGCATAGGTTGATTGCAGTGAGGGAGCGCCATAGAAATCTCGCCCAGCGCGCCGATAGCACTAAAACGTGGTAGCGCTATGATGTATTGGTGTTTGCCTTGCACGCCTCGTGGGCGTGGGCGACGTAGGCCGTCGTTTACATCGTACTTTATACCACTGTAAATATTTTTCTACAAAATGTTTGCTCCAAATTCAATGTTAACGACCAATATTTGTTTAAGATTTTCGTAGTTGTCCAAACGTAGATACCATAAACTACTTACATTGTAAGTTGGTAGTTAAGCTGTGGTACTTTGCATTTTTCCTGTAAAATGAATTGTGCGTACACTTCAAATTTGCAGACAATGGTTTTATAAATTCGTAAAAATTTAAACAGTATTGGTTTGGCAAACCTAAGATATCGCTGGCAAATATTTGGTATGACCATATCTCGCGGTGTGCGATCTTTATGTTAGTACATGATTTAAAATCATACACAAACACATGCGAGCATCACGTGCGGTATCACAAGATCGGAGGTCCACAACTGAAAAGTCATGCCTCTGATCTCTCTGTCAACTGGAAGTTAACACGTGATGTATATTGTGGTAGGAGATAAGGAAATAAATACAGGAGTAGAGAAATATAAACATCGATTCCTCTGAAGATGTCGGTGCTAAAGAAATTATGCATTTTAAAGTGTTGCTTGGAGATAGTATTCGTATTTTTTTCGTTCCATCAGACTGTATATAAATAACTCGATTGTGATAGAGAATATTGTATGATACACTAATAAAATTGTTACGTTTTGTGAGCCAGCGGTGATATATAAATAGGCGTTGATAGTAGCGACGTCGCCCGCGCCCACCGAGTTTGTTTACAAGCGCTGCGGCCCTGACACCCGCCACGGCTATATATTTATATGATTTGAGACTTATACAAATCACCTGGACAGTTAAGAATCTGTCCAAAAATCGTGAAATAAAAAAAATAACAAATTAATTAAAATACCAAACATTAGTAAATTTACGTTTGGTTTTGTTTTTATTTTGAAAACTAGCAAAGTTTTTTTAACAATAATGAAATAAAAACTAAAGAAAAATAACATCTCAATACATAGAAAATCATTCTGTACGCGTGCCAAAAGTCATGTGTCATTGACAGCCACAGACTACAAATGACAGTTTATATGGCTTGTCCTACACTAGCAATTCATAATTCGGACACGTCTATTTGAAAAGATTTACATTAAAAAGAACGTCCTCTACAACAAACGAGAGATTGGTCAATCGTTCTACTTTGCTGAAATGTCGAAATGTTTGCAAACAGATAATTATCGTAATATTTGGCAAACGTTTGGTCTGAAATATGCAAATTATGATCTTGCGAGGATAGGGTAGTGCTTGCACTTACACCCAAGTCACAAGAGCAAAACGGGGGCGCCGTCTGTCGTGCCAGAGCGCCGTGCCAGGAATGCACAACCCGAGGAAATGACTGTTGATGACTTTATCCACAAATACCCGACGCTCATTAATAAAATTATAAATATACAAAGACGATTTCTATTCCCTTTTCATCGCGTAGAAATAAACAAAAACCTGCCATTTGTTATGTGAGAAGTTAGATATCGTATAGCGCATGTTTGTTTTTCAGCGTGCAATTTGTCCCACAATTAATTAACTGTCCTCCTATCTAGTTAACATATATCATTGTCAGCTTAGTATCGCACTAATTTATATCATTATTCTTGCCTTGATCATGTGTGTTGAATTGATACATATTCAAATAATTTATTTTGTATCTTTCACCTTAATACTTTTGGTTTGGTCACAGAATATCGTCGTTTAGTTCAGTTAAAGTGGCAACCTGCAAAGAACCAGGATATAGTTTGCGAATTAAAACTGGTTGTTGTGATTGACCGTATAGTTTGTGGCCTCTAATGGAGTAGTTCGCACAGATGGTGGTACATCTCCAGGGTCGTGGGAGCGGCTGGCGATTAACACAACAATTGCACGCCTGTCTGTCCGCCGGTGACTAGTTCGCGGAAGTCGTGACCTCATACGCTAAGGCTCGCCTTGATCTGACTCGAAGGACCAATTTACGGTTTTAAGATTTTTGTTCTTAATTTGAACAATATTACTTTGCCTAATTATCAACGATCCTTATGCAATATTTATTAAAAACTAAGTGATAAAAAAATATTGCTTAGAGTTAAATTCTATCTATATAATTCTCCGTAATTGAACTACGTGCTATGCTATACTTAAACTAAGCACACTAGTCTATACATTTGAAATGTTTTGCCATTTGTCCGTTGCAAGTCGGTCAACAATCGTCCGGCATCCGTCCAGTTTTGCGGATTAACTGTACCGAGTTGCGCCGGCGCAGGAAGTGGACGATAAACAGCGCCGCTTCCTGCGACTGCCGACAACGATAGCTCACTGGTGGGCACACCATTGCACTTGTACGACAGTATTACATTGTAATTAATGATGAAGAAATGTAAATATATGCAATTGTTAGCAGACATCGCGTAACTAATGACTTAATCGTTCTGACCTATGAATCATAAGGCCAAACGTAGTATTTATCATGAATTTAATATA